CTGATGCGGTGCAACAGGAAGTAACGAATACCACCAAAGAGGTGTTCTTGTCAAAAAACACTTAATCTGCGTCTAATCAAGCCTCTCAACCTAATTTCCAGATTACAAGAAATACAGCAGAGAGGAACAAGTTAAAGCACAACATGAGGGAACTATCAGACAAATCCAGAATGTGGGATATTTTATGAAATAATTGGCTGGATTCTTCCAAGTCAATTTCTTTAAAAAAAAATTTTTTTTTAAGTGGAAGGGGCAGGGAGGGCACAGAGGGATGGATCTAGATTAAAAGTGAGTGAACAGATAACCAAATGTAACACACAAACTTCGACTGGACTATGATGTGAAAAAACTATTATAAAAACTTTCTTGGGGCCAGTCGAGTGGCTCAGCTGGTTAAAAGCTTGCTTGGGAGCGCCAGCTCTGAGCAGCAGGGCCGCGGTTCGGATCCCACATTGAGGGCCAGTGACGCTCGCCCTCTACAGCTAAGATGATGAACAGCAGCTCAACCTGGAGCGGGGCTGCTATGAGTCACTGGCGACTGCATAAGCTGCAGTGGGGGTGTAGTGGGCTGTGAGATACGTGAGTGGCTGGCAGCAAGCATGAGCGGCCGGTAGTGGGCAAGAGCTGCCGTGAGCAGCCGACCAATGACTGGCGACCGATCTGCCTCACCTGGGAGGAGCACAATGATCATACCAACATGGGCCAGTGAAGCAAAGTCCTCCACAACTAGACTGAAGAACAAAACAGCAATTTATCTACCTGTCTGTTCCCCTTCCCTGATTCTCCAACGCTGTTCCCCTCCCCCAATTCCCCAATTTAAAAAAAATCTTTAAAAAACAAACAAACAAACAAACTTTCTTGGCTCAATGGAGGGTATATGAATAGAGAATAAATATACATGTATGCATGCAATTCTGGAATTATTAATTCTCTTAGATGGTATGATTATATAGAAGACTATGTGCATAAGAGAAGCATGCTCAAATATTTATAAGTGAAGGGCCATGGTGGTACCACAACACACATACAACACGTTAACAACTGCTGAATCTAAGCGAAGGGTAGAGAGTTCATTCTTTCAACAGCTCTGCAATTATAAACATTTTTCATAACAAAAAGTTTGGGTGAAGTTATTAAAATGAAAACATAAAAACTTACTTCTCAGAGGCAAACCTTACTTAAAGAGTTCATGGACCCCAAATTGAGAATTACTGACCTATCTAATTCATCTTTTTACCTTCCACAGTGTCACCTCAAAATAATGGGAAACCCCAAAACTGCAAGAAACAATCAGTCCCTTATGTGTAACAGCAATAATACAAGTTGACATTAAGACACAGGGATTGAAATGAAGGGGCTATCAGGAATTCAAACAACCAATTCAAGCATTCCTCAAAACACATCACACACAACTGAACGCACGCATTCTCTAGCTGGGGAAATCCGAATGAACTCAGCAGATTGTATCAACCCAACTTTCAGGGCCTGCCTTGATTCTGAGCCACATAGGCAGACAGTAGACTGGCGTGGCCTTGTTTGCTATAATCTAACCTTGGAGTCCAGGGCAAACCTTTAGCTTGTAAAAGCCATCATTCACCCTACCTTGTTTTGTGCATGGACTTCAATTATGATATTGTGCTAGTTATGCAAGATGTTACCACTGGGGAAGACGGGGGGCAGGGTACATGGGGCCTCCCTCTACATTTTTCTGCAAATTCCTGGGACTCTGTAATTATTTCAAAAACAACATATTATAGATCTCATGTCCTGGTCTTGTCCAGTTTGAACATACCCTTAACCTGCTCCTTAAACCCTTCCCACAACCAATAAGATAAATGACAAGCTATCTTCAAAAAGGAGCCCTTCAAAATCTTAAAGATAAACAATTCTTAAAATTGTTAAAGTCCTAGAAGAAACATAAAGAGATCTTTACATATCTTGCAAATAAATGCCTCCCTCTCAGACCCCGTCAGTTTCCTCCACAGCCCCCTGGCACCTCACCCCAGGTAAGATGCGAGTTCTCCATTGGCGTTGTTTCCCAGGTCACATAATCAAGTAGAGCAGTGAAGTGGGCTCAGTGCAGCCTAGAGCACGTTCACTGATGGCTGCCAGGGGCTAACGGCTGGGAGGAGCACACACATTTACCTTCCACACCTGCCGCTCTCCTAGCCTCTGAGCCTGAGGAATGAGGAGCCTGGTAACTGCCTCTCCATTTCACCTAAAGAACAGGCTGGTGAGTCAGGATGAGTCTGTGATTCTTTCCCAAGAATAAGCACTCACACCTTTTTTGCTCCTGAGATGAACCCGAGCAGAAGTCAGAAACCACGCAGAATGCTGCTCTCGTTAACAAAACCCTCTCCAGCAGCCCCTGCTGCTGGAGTTGAAACCAGGAGCATCAGTTGCCGATTCTGCCTCAATGCCAGCCTGCTCCCCGGTCCCACCCAGGATAATGCCAACTTGACAAGGAGGGCTGAGAGGCCCTGGATGTGGGGTCAGCAAGGGCGTTTCCCAGGGTGCCAGCTGCACAACAGCCCCAAGCTATAGCAGAGATCACTGCATGAAAACAGCACATAAGAAATATTACTGAGGCCAATTATGGTAAATGGTTGATTGAGTTTGTATTTGCTCTGAAAGACACACCATCTGGTTTTCATTTCACCTGAACACATGGGTTTGGCATAATTATTTTTAAAAGAGTCCCAAAAATGCATTTTTCCAACACTGCCTGATTTTTCAGGCAAGGAAATACCTTCTGTATACAACTCAACAAAAGTGGAATACAAATGTGTCTACTGCACACAATTATGTGTGTATCTTACAGCTGTGCTCACAGAGAGATGACTGAAAGGAAATACACCGAAGCACCGACAACGGTTACTGTAAGGCGGTGGGGGTATAAGGATGCAACTTCTTGTAATATTTTCCTATATCTTACACTTTTTTTTTTAACACGGTAACCCTGTACGATCAGAGCCAGCCTTAGATGCAGAGGACCCCTACAGAGAAGACACGCCTCATTCAGAGTCCACAGGAGACAGGAAAGGAAGCATGAATGGGGGCACCGCAGCAACCTCCGCCGGGCAGCCCAGGCTGAAGTGAGGCAAGAAGCTCAACTCTCGGGACTTGCGAATGCTTCCGAAAACTCCAAAACATTTCACTTACAATGGCACCCGCAAGTCTGCCAGTAAACAAGGCAGGAAGTGCGTTAACAAATGGAGAACGCAGGCTCCGGGTACCCCCCTTCCCAGGGCAGCACCAACAATCACAGCCGGGCGACTGGTGGCTGGTAGGCGGGGGCCAGAGAGCACCTCAGAAGTAACCAGACTTTTGAATTTAAATGACAGGAGGTTAGGATTTGCTGCTCCTTCACCACTCTACAAAATAATCTTAAGACTATCTCCCTGGAAAGCACCCAATGGCCCACTGAGTGGTGGCACATGAGCCAGGACCACTACACCACAAGACAACAGTCCATGTCACAGTATGTTACAACTCTTTTGGCCAGTCGACCAAGCCACGGTGCTTTTCCATGATAAAATCTCCATTTCCTCTCTGGCAGAGGAAAGGGAGCAGTCCCCTCATGAAATGTCACATCTTCAAATATCTGCATAAAGCTCTGCCCGTCGTCCTGCAGTCCGGAGACAACAATGTGTTCTCATCCTTACTAATATGGGCCCTGAAGATGAGCATGTTATCAGAGACCAGCGGGAGGACAGGGCAGCCAGAGAGACCTCCTGAGATTACTCAACTGTACACCGGAGATCAGTTCAGCCACCACCTCCTTCGACAGACCCCAGAAATTTGGGGAGATTATGGCTTGATTTATAGATATCCCAAATCTCCAAGGCTGCTGGTTAACTCTCTTTATAATCTGTGATATATGGTACTAAACCTTACTCATAATTAGGCAAGTTAGAAGCAATGATGAGAAGGTAAAGTAAAATCTGTGATAAAAATACAATTGACCCTTGAACAATGGGAGGGTTAGGGGCACTGACCCCGGCGCAGTTGAAAATCCACGTATAATTTTTGACTCCCCCAAAACTTAACTAATCACCTACTGTTGACTAGATTTCCATATGTAATGCATATACATACACATATAATACACATTGTATATTGTACGTACTCTATACTGTATTCTTACAGTAAAGCTAGAGAAAAGATATTAAGAAAATCATAAGAGAAAATACATTTATAGTATTTACTGAAAAAAAATCCGTGTATAAATGGATTCATGCAATTCAAATCCATGTTGTTAAAGAGCCAACTGTAATTTAAAATAGGATGGATTTAGTTCATTATAATCTATGCCTATTTTTAAAAATTAAATATGGACTCATGCATATATATGCACACACAGAGGCACTGATTTTTTGTCTGAGTTAATTTCTCCTCTTTCCCATCTAAAGCCACACAGTAAATCCTCATGTGACCATTTCAAGAACTATTTTTTGCTACTAAATTTTGCCAACAATCTGCTCAACATCCTAGCAGATGTTTCTGTTTTCAAACCTCTGGGAACTTGGCTGGATCTGTTTTCTTTCCCCATGTTAAAAATAAAAAAAAAAATGGCCCAAATGTGGCCTAATGCCCTGGAGAAGCCTTTCCCCACCCACACCCCTCAATCTCCCTATTCATGTGACCTCCAGGATCCCTTCTCAAATCGCTTCTTTTCCATTAGAGAAGATGTTTCCAATTATGGTCCATTATATTGCCAAGGATGACATCACTCAGATGTGTGTGTGTGTGTGTGTGTGTGTGTGTGTGTGTGTGTGTAAAGAAAATGCTACTGATTGTTAGTTACTTGGGGACCATCTGCAACAATTTAAGTCAACTATGGTGCTGGACGTTACTAACCCACAATGTCACAGGAGGGCTATTTGTTTAAGATCGATTCTCCAAACAGAACAACACTCTCACACTGGGGCTGGAGGGGCAGGGGCATCCTTGTCTCTTATCTAACGATTTCTTTAAACACATTTGTGACCCAATCTTACCTCAGTAACATCCATGACTTTGATGGCTGCCAGCTGACCTGTTTTAACATGTCGACCCTGAAAAACAGAAAAGAAAGATAATGGGCACCACTGTTTTTGCACAATCACTAGAACAGAACAACGGCTGAAGTTTAACAAAGCACCTCTTCTATACTTTTTCCCAAAAGTGGTGATGAAATAGTCTCGTGCTTTCCAATAGAACAATATGGTTTGTAATACCAGTGAACCACACTTGATAAACAAAACAATTAGAAGAACAAATGAGTTTTGCTCCCTCTTTCTTTCCAGGGTTTAATTTACATATCATTACCCCTCAATCCAAGCATACAGAAGAAATGTTTTCTTCTATACATCAAGTTGACCAATGGTTAACGGTCATTTTTCCATAGTGGACTTCCCAGTACCTATTACTTGACAGCACAAGAGTTAATACTGAGAGTATTCTTTGAAGCTTTCTTGTAGTTCTAATGTAAGAAGGCTGGAGAATAATTATCTAGAATAAAGGAAATGTGCAAAGAGCTGGGGGCACAAAGAGGCAAAGGAAAGGGAAAGAGCTTTTTTACAGCTATATTAGAATTTCTGACTAGAACCTAAAAATTTGTTATCCACTTCTATTACTAAATATTTCAAACAAATGTGCTATCCTTCTCCTCTCACCCGGATGAGGGTTATTGGATTTGATTACTGTCAGTCTTGTCCTCTATCCACTCTTGGTCATTTCCCAGGTGAGTAACAAAGAATTACCCAGATATCCTGAGCACAATCTACTTAAGAACTTTGTGAAAAATAGTCCTTCTGCAACAAATGTAAAACAGAAAGAACATCCCCATGTTTTCCAAGAGCCTCCCTCTCTTGTGGTCTCATGATGGAGCGTTATGAACTTTAGAACTTGAAACCTGAGGCAAGCTCTCCCTTCTGGAAAGTTTATGCAGGAACTCAAGTTACAACTCGGACAAAACAACTCTGTGAAAATGACACTGTATTACAATTATGTCTCTATATGTGGTCATGGTGGGATGGAGTCCAGCAATGAACTAGCAGTCCACAAGCAGGAGCCGTGCAACAACTTAACACATGGGAAACCAGGACAAATAAAATCCACAGGCCAGGAACCCCATTCCAGCTCTCACCAACCTGCAGACACCACCACCTCCACCATCCCCACGTGAACTATCTTCCTAGTCTTCTGAAGCGCTGCACTGAGTGTGGGCACCAACCCCCACAGCCCCACATCTGCAGTTCAGATGGTCTAAAGAAAGGTCTGCTTCTGAGGCAGGCAGGCGAGCCCACGGTGGTCCATGTACGGGGAACTCAGCCTTCCTGCCCTTTCAGCCACCTCCCATCTGTCACTCCATGGGTATGCTTTTGCAGCCTGCCCAGCCTCAGTGGACCTCAACTGCCACCTCAGAGTACCCCATTATCCCACCTTCTCTACCATCCCCGCATAGCCTGGAGAAGAGTCTGGCACTATTTCTGCCTTCACAGTTGGATAACCCATGATCCTGAAAGAAAACGTCTGGTCTGTATGTTACTATACAGCACATCAAATGAGGAGGCGGCCATCTCACATCCACAGAAGCTCCATCTCAGATGCACAGAGTGGAATACAACTCTTTGTCAGGAAAGCAGTAATTTATGAACGTTATTAACCCCCTATATTTTGGATCTTACTGCCATTTTTTGCTACTTATTTGTCCAAGATTCAGTATCTTTTTATAGTGTCCCCCTCTCAATTGGTCATTTAAAATCTCCACCTGTTTATGTTACAGGCTCTGTAACCTGGGCCTTTTCTTTAGCCTTGTAACCACAGCTCTGTGCCACGCATCAGTACATAGGAAACTGAGCTCTCCCTCATGCCCTGGGTGTGGGCGTGATCCTGCAGCTAGCCACAGGACAGCGGTCCAGGGCACACGCGACGCACCGAGACCGTATCCACGTATCATCTCTCACGCGGTTCCCGAGACCTGAGCACATCACAGCTCGGTGTGCCTCCGGCTCCTGTCCATCAAAGAGGGGAAGGGTAACAGTGGTGGCTGCCTCACTGGTTTATTGTTAAGAAAAACTGAGGAGCAAAGAAGGCTGTACGGCACATGGTCAAGAGTAATCCTGGTAATAAACTACCACTGGACCTTGTTTCTCTCAACTGATATAAAATGAATTTCTTAGCATAGTATCAATAAACCCCCATGACTACCTATGACTGGGCAATACAATCATGAAGCCAAATCATGATTTCCTACAATCCAAGAAGAACAGAACTTAAGAAGATAGAGTATTAAGTAATCCTCCAGTAACTTCCATGTAAGAAACACAAAGATCATCTCTTTCTCACCCAGTCAGCCCTCAAATCTGGAAATATATATTTGTTACTCTTCATGCAGTACTTTCAAATCACTAAAGCAAATTTCTCTCTGACAGAATCGAGGGATGAAAGAAAATGTCACAAGAGTTTTGGGAATGTGTCACTTGAGATGTGGGCGAGGGGAGGATCTTCTGAGTATCTGATATGATAACATGATCCTCAAGGTCAAGAAAATCCATTGGTCTATGGAAAAACCTCTCTAGATGTTTATATAACAGCTGCATCTTCCTTTCCCCCCCCCCTCTATTCCTGAACTCAAGACTGCAAGTGTATTCTTAAGACTTAGCAGTTTGACAGTGGCATTAAAGCTGAGAGTTCTGAATTCACTCTCAGAACACTTGTTTTATATAGAACATTAGCTTCCCTTACTGAGGGATTACAGAATCAAGACCTAACAACTAATCAATTGTCTTTGTGTCAGATAACAGACCCTGCAAAGACATCAGTCTTCATGAACACATACCAGGTCTTCCAAAATTAGGTCCATTTTAAATTGAAATTTAAATCAGGAAACTGTCTAACAATTCTGTCTCGCTCCCTTCCTAAGAAACAAGACAATGCACTGGAAGAAATGAATCTGGGATTCAGGCAGCCTTGGGCTCTCATTCCTCGTTGCCACTCCACTGTTGTATTTTCTCAGCAAAGCTACTTATAGTCTCCGAGCTTCCAAAGATCACTGTAGGACCCAATGAGTAAGGGTCCTTTCTAGAATAAGACAGGCTATAGTAAGTGCACAGCGTACGTAAAGCCCTAGCCACCATACCTGGTGGGCAAAGAGAGTCTTCCTCTGTCCACTCCCTCCAGAGGCCTATGCTGGTTTCAAGACCCTTTCTCACTAATTCAGCTTGCAGTTATCTCAAATCTCGTCAATTTAGGCCCATTTCTCATGTTCAAAAGGCATGACCAATATGTGGGGAGGCAGTGGGATGCTTATTTAATATACTTTTCTGAAAGAAAAGAAAAGAAAAGAAAAGAAAAGAAAAGAAAGAAAGAAAAAGAGTAAGAGAAAGAGAAAGAGAAAGACCTGTAAACTTAAAAGTAATAATGTATCTGCTAAGATGGGCCATCATTGTGTAAAGGAACCAAAATGGTCAGCAAAACAGCCGGAGGACAAAAACTAAAGCTAGGACTGAATGTTAACATGCATGTAACCCTGTGTTGAGGAGGTTATGTGAAGGCTTGTCTAAAATAAAAATTTGTCTGTGACTTACTCAACACTGCCCAACAGAGCATATACGATGACTGCCCTTCTCAGGGTGGGTTATGAGCTTAAGTCTGCAAAAGGCAGGTGCCCACCCATGGGGGAGGGCCCCACTCCCCACCCACGCTCCATTGGCATGGTTTTAGCTTAACAAATGGCCCGTCTTCATACTGCCTCAGTAGTATGTGAAAATACACACAATCAGAACCAACTGCATTGTGCTAGGGACTTCAGTACACAGGAACAGGCATTATTCCCTGAAGTTTGAGGCTACAATGTACTATATCAGGGGTCAGCAAACTTTTCAGACACAAGAGCCAATCCTGCCCCTCACAACAATTTAAAAATTATTCGAGTGCCATAAAACAAATGAAATCACCATTATGTGAATAATATCGTTTAAAAACTTCATAAATGAAACTGTAAGTTTTATTTTCATTTTCAATTTTACTTCACAGCCACATGTACGTACCCGAAGAACTGCATGTGGCTCGCAAGCCACAGTTTGCCGACCCCTGTACTATTGGGTTGTCGGAAAAGTCATGACATATTTGTCTATGTTTTTCAAAGGTCATTTATTTACATAACGAACAAAGATCAATCAATGATATATTGCCCGTTTTGTTTGATAACCTTTTGCCATCTCTCAGTGAGCTTCATAATTCCTTGTTCATAGAAGGACCTGTCTTTATTGGCGAAAAACTGAACAAGGTGCTGATTTACAGCCTTATCTGCATTGAACGTTATACCACGCAAGGAGCTTTGAAGAGAGTGAAAAAAGTGGAACTCTGACGGCGCAAGGTCAGGTGAGTATGGTGGGTGTGGCAACACATCCCATCCAAGCTCCAATAATTTTTGACGGGTGATCAAACTTGTGTGTGGTCTCGCGTTGTCACGATAAAACACAGTTCCTTTAATTAACGAGCTCTGGATGTTTCTGGATAATGGAGTCATTCAAACTGTCCAATTGACGACAGTACACATTCGAATTGATTGTTTCGTTCCTTGGTAGGAACTCGAAAAACACAACACCTTTAAAATCCCACCACACTGAGAGCATAACCTTTCTCTGATGAATGTCTGCTTTCAATGTCCTGTGAGGTGCATCATCACGTCAGGACCAAGACCATTTGCACACCACATTGTTGTAAACAATCCACTTCTCATCACCAGTTATCAGTCACTTCAAAAAAGGATCGTTTTCCTCATGTTTAATGAGCATATTGCAGGTGTATACACGTCATCAAATGAACTTCTCTGAGTTCATGCAGAACCCAAATATCAAGCTTGCTTACGTAGTCCAGCTTCTTCAGGTGGTTGTGAACGCTTGAATGATGGATGTTCAATGTTTCTGCAATCTCTCGTGTTGTGTAACGTGGGTTTGACTTGATCAATGCCTTTATTTTGTTGTCATCAATCTCGGTGGGCCTCCTTAACCGAGGAGCATCGTTAAGATCAAAATCACCAGCACGGAATTTCGTGAACCATCATTGG